CGGGATGGAGACCCCGACCTGCCTCTCAGGTGGGCCACCTGCCCGGGAGGGGCTCCTTCCTACCTTCCTTCCTCCCCCCCCCCCCGGGGTCCCCAGGTCTCCTACCTGATGGAGGCTCCCAGGAGGAGGGGGGGTCCCAGTAAACAAGGGGCCACAGCCTGCTTTCCTTCCAGCCGGGCACTCGTCCTCTGCGCCTCCCGGGAAGGAAGGGAAGGGGAAGGAAGGGAAGGGAATTTGGGGGGGGGGTGCTTGTTGGTGCTGTTGCTGCAGAGAGAGAGAGAGAGAGAGAGAGAGAGGCAGGAAGATGCTCAGAGGCCCGATCGCCCGCCCGCCCTCGCCGTTGCCCGGGCAACAGATGCGCTGCTGAGCGGAGGAGGAGGAGGAGGAGGAGGGATGCAGGCAAAGAGGAAGGAAGGCAGAGGATGCTCGTGGTCAGGGGCGGCTCATCCATTACGCAAAGTAAGCGGTCGCAGTACACTTTTTTTTTGCCAGGGGTGCAGAGGCGCCTCTGTAAATGCCCCTCGACCACCACTTGAGGAGCGACCCCCTCGAATCACAACAGCCCTAGCAGTCAGTCCGGGGGGAGACTCAGCAACCCATTACGCAAAGTAAGCCTTTGGAGTAGAGTCGATGTTGCCCAGGGGCGCTTGCTCTTGAGCCACTCTTGGGGGGAAATAGACCTTGACATATGCGAGTTGTAGTTACTGGGATGTAGTTCACCTACAATCAAAGAGCATGCTGAACTCCACCAGTGATGGAATGAACCAAACATGGCACACAGAACTCCCACAACGAACAGAAAATATATATCAATGATTGGTTGGGGGGGGGGGGCAAATTACTGTTTGCTTACCGTTGAAAATGACCTAGGGCCTCCTCTGCTCGTGGTCCCCCTCCCTCCATGCCCCACAGACCCAGGCCCCTTCCTGTCCCCCTCAGCAGCCAAAGGGCCCCAGGCTGGGAGGAGCCCCAAACATCGGGTAGGAGGGCCCAAGTTGGACCAGGCCTGAGCCATGGCAGGAAGAGGCAGGAAGACCTCCCCCCAAAAACAGGAGGCTGAGCCCCCCAGGAGTGGGATCGGGAGTCCAGGGAAGCCTCCTTCCTTCCTTCCTTCCTTCCTTCCTTCCTTCCTTCCTTCCTTCTTTCCTTCATTCTCTGGGGACTTCTAAGTGAGGTTGGATGGGTGCCTGAAGGCCTCAGGAAGGCTACCTGAAGGCACGCATGCTTCTTTCCCGCCACCTTCTTGCAAAGTTGTGACGTTTTAGTGCAGGAAAGAGCCGTTCAGCAGTGGAACTCTCTGCCCCGGAGGGAGTGTGGTGGAGGCTCCTTCTTTGGAGGCTTTTAAACAGAGGCTGGATGGCCATCTGTCAGGGGTGCTTTGAATGCAATATTCCTGCTTCTTGGCAGAATGGGGTTGGACTGGATGGCCATGAGGTCTCTTCCAACTCTATGATTCTGTTCGGTAGTGGAACTCTGCCCCGGAGTGTGGTGGAGGCTCCTTCTTTGGAAGCTTTTAAACAGAGGCTGGATGGCCGTCTGTCAGGGGTGATTTGAATGCAATATTCCTGTTTCTTGGCAGAAGGTTGGACTGGATGGCCCATGAGGTCTCTTCCAACTCTTGGATTCTATGTGAGAGCTGTTCAGCAGTGGAACTCTCTGCCCCGGAGGGAGTGTGGTGGAGGCTCCTACTTTGGAAGCTTTTAAACAGAGGCTGGATGGCCATCTGTCAGGGGTGATTTGAATGCAATATTCCTGCTTCTTGGCAGAATGGGGTTGGACTGGATGGCCCATGAGGTCTCTTCCAATTCTAGGAAGAACTTCCTGACTGTGAGAGCCGTTCAGCAGTGGAACTCTCTGCCCCGGAGTGTGGTGGAGGCTCCTTCTTCGGAAGCTTTGAAACAGAGGCTGGATGGCCATTTGTCAGGGGTGATTAGAATGCAATATTCCTGCTTCTTGTCAGAATGGGGTTGGACTGGATGGCCCATGAGGTCTCTTCCAACTCTTTGAGCCGTTCAGCAGTGGAACTCTCTGCCCCGGAGGGAGTGTGGTGGAGGCTCCTTTTTGGAAGCTTTTAAACAGAGGCTGGATGGCCATCTGTCAGGGGTGATTTGAATGCAATATTCCTGCTTCTTGGCAGAATGGGGTCAGACTGGATTGCCCTTGAGGTCTCTTCCAACTCTAGGATTCTATGATTCTAGGTCCGGCCGTAAGCCTTGGCCTCGCAAGGGCTTCCCGGGCTTCTCCCTCCCAAAAGCAAGAAGCACTTTGCTTGGAGGGAACGATTGGTCCGGACAATCGTGTGGGAAACGCTGCGCTCAACAGGTAAAAGAGCAGCACACACAGGGGTAACTACCTGGCAAATGCAAACCACTCCAAGTCCCAGAGGTTGTGGGCTTCGTGGGAATCCCTCCTCAGCCATTGCACGCCATTGGGAGTATCAACCGTATTTAACTGAGTCCAATGCACCATCAAATCTAATGCGCACCTCAACTTACACCTTTAGCCAAAAAAGGTGAGCATTAGAATCCTTGTTGTTGTATTGTCAAAGGCTTTCATGGCCGGAATCACTGGGTTGTTGTAGGTTTTTTTGGGCTATGGCCATGGTCTAGAAGCATTCTCTCCTGACGATTCGCCTGCATCTATGGCAAGCATCCTCAGAGGTAGTGAGGTCTGTTGGAACTAGGAAAAGGGTTTATATATCTATGGAATGACCAGGGTGAGACAAAGGACTCTTGTCTGTGGGAGTGACTATAATGAAATGCTGAAACCATCAATTACTGGAGCATCCTCCTCTGAGGATGCTTGCCATAGATGCAGGCGAAACGTCAGGAGAAATGCCTCTAGAACATGGCCATATCGCCCGAAAAAACCCACAAGAACTGAGTATTTGTTGTTCATTTGTTCAGTCGTTTCCGACTCTTTGTGACTTCATGGACCAGTCCACGCCAGAGCTCCCTGTTGGTCGTCACCACCCCCAGCTCCTTCAAGGTCAATCCAGTCACTTCAAGGATGCCATCCATCCATCTTGCCCTTGGTCGGCCCCTCTTCCTTTTCCCTTCCATTAGAATCCTAGAATCCTAGAGTTGGAAGATACTTCATGGGCCATCATCCAGTCCCACCTCAGTCTGCCAAGAAGCAGGAAAATTGCATTCAAAGCAGCCCCGACAGATGGCCATCCAGCCTCTGTTTCAAAGCCTCAAAAGAAGGAGCCTCCACCACACTCTGGGGCAGAGAGTTCCACTGCTGAACAGCTCTCACAGTCAGGAAGTTCTTCCTCATAGGTTTTCCTGTAGTTCAAAGCCATGGCTCCATTGTGTTCTAATCTCTAGGGCAGCGGAAAGGAAGCCCCCTCCCTCCTCATGACTTCGCCATACATCTTGATCCCTCGCCATCTTGTGTCCTCTCCACCTTCTCTTCTGCAGGCTAAACATGCCCAGGTCTTTAAGCCACTCCTCATAGGGCTTGTTCTCCAGACACTTGATCATTTTAGTCACCCTCTTCCCCTGGATATATTCCAGCTTAGAGTCAATATTAGATCTGAGTAAATATGGCATTTCTCAACTCCATGCCACAGTGCCATGAGGAGTGGTGGATCCAAGCTCTCCTGAGGCCAGGCTCAAGAGACCTACTACGCTCTGTGTGCCTGCAGGTGAACACATGACTTTCCAGAGGAAGGGGACACAAACCAGCCCAAAGGCCAGTTGGCTTCCTGTCCAGAGACAGCAGCCTTTCCGATCTTTAGGGCAGAAGGATTAGGTGGATAATGCATCGTTAGATAGGACTGCATTGTGTAAAACTGGTGGAAAATACAGTTCTAATGGACATGTGGTCACGCACCTACTAAAGGCTGAAGTAGGAGGTGATATGTAACTGAGGGGACAGGCAGTGGACGGCGAGTCTTGACCAAGTGACAGGTATTACAAGGGCTGCATCATTCACTTTTGTCCCGGGTTGACAACAGAAGCGATGGGTATAAAAGAGGGCAGCAAGTGTGTCCTCTCTCTTGCCACAATTCTCTTGCTTCTCACCATACATCCATTGCAGATATCTGTTGTGAATACAGTGTTCCCTCACTTATCAGAAGGGTTATGTTCCAGGACCACCCGTGAAAGTGAAAATCCGCAAAGTAGGGATGCTATATATGTATATATATCACATTCCGAGGGTGAGGCTGAAGGGAGACAAACCTTTTTTGTTTGCAAGCTACCTCTGCTTTTCTTTGCAATCTCTCTTGACTGGCTGTCTCTCTGTGGAAGGGGGTCTCACCCTCCATTGTTGCCAGGAGGTGGGATTAGAATGCCACTCTGGGCAACGCCAACCACACGTAAACTGGGAGGCAAAAAACCGCGAAACCACCCACGGGAGAAAAGCGGGATATAAATAAATAAATAGATAGATAACCAATCGAGATTCTAAGCCTCCATTGTGAGTTTGGATGAAACCTGAGTCACAGAGTTTTCTGAAACAGCGAGCGGCACAAGATCAGGCTGTGCAGTAAAACTCTGTCAACAACTGATAGGGACTCTGCTATGTTTGGGTTGATTCTTCAAAGCTTGCCTCTGTGACACTCAGTCTGGTGCGCAGCATGTTTAGGGAGGGCGTGATCGTGAAGGAGAAAACGATAAACCACGTACCAATCCCACCAGTTCCAACAAGGAGCCTGAATAACATCAGAGTTGGAAGGGAGCTCTAAAGGCCATCTAGTCCAACCCCCTTCATTCTGCAGGGAAAGGACAGACAAAACTCCCCTGACAGATGGCCATCCAGGACGATCTGGTTGCTGCTTCTGGCTCGAGGCCTTGCAATGGGAAACCCACTGCAGTCTTGCTCTACCTGGTAGCAGGGGATGCCTGGGCGGGGCTTGCCCTCTCTGACCAGGAAAGGGGTCCCATTTGGCCCATGGTTCTGGAGCCAGCCATTTTGTGCCCCCTCCCCCCTTGAAGCATGACCCCCCCCACCGCCCCCCCAGCGGCGCAGGAAAGTGACCCAAGCTGCTCCTGGACATTGTAATGCTGGTCTTTAATGTCCCTAAGAACTAGGAAACAAAATCAAAAATAGACTTTTCCTTTGCTCTTTTTTTTTTGATAAAAGTAATAAAATGGTTAGCACTGTTAAATTAAATCCTTTAAAAAAAAAGCCGCCCCGCCCAAGAAAGCCCGGGGCTCCAGGTACAAACCATGACGACTACAAAAATGGCAGCCAAGACCTCTGTACACACAGACACACAAAGGGGCTCCTCTGCTCCGCGGCTCGCGGGAAGGGGTTTCGGTGGGGGCAGGCAGAACTGGGGGGGGCCTCCGGTGGGGGCGGGAAGGGGGGCGCGGAAGGGCCCGGAACACGGAAGAGGCGTATTTACAGGGCGGGCACAGGGCGGGGCCATCGCTGCAGCCCTCCCGTCACTCCTTCCCTCCAGAGGCTCGCTTCCTTGGCCGAGGCCCGGCTGCTCCTGCCTTGTCCTGTCTGCAGGAGGTCAAGGTCAAGGGCAGCAGGCACCGTCGTGGCCGTCCTTGCAAGTCCAGGGCCCCGCAGTCTGTCCACCTGCCCCGGCCGGAGCCTAGTCCCCCAGCAAGGGCCTGCAGGACCGGGGAGGAAGGGACGGGTGCCGGGCAAACTGCCCACTCCAGTCCTTGAGGGTCAGATGCTTCCCGCTGGCGAAGCAGCCCCCCCCTCGCTCCCCTTCTTCCTTCTGTCTGTCCGGTCAGTTCAGGGCCCCTCAGTTGGGGGTGCTCGAGTCTCCACCGGCGCTCGGCTCCTTGGCCGCCTCTCGCTCCTTGTCCGAGGAAGAAGAGGAAGCAGCGGCGGTGGCGGTGGAGGCGGCAGCGGCGGCGGAGGCAGCGGCCAGGGTGCGCCCGGAGTGCTTGAAGGCGGCCACCAGCTCCTGCAGCCGCTCCGGGGTGGGCTCCCACTTGGCAAAGCCGGCCTCGTTCTGCAGGAAGAGGACGGCCGTGTTGTGCACCGCCTTGTAGTACATCTCCTCCCTGGAAGGAAAGGAAGGAAGGAAGGAAGGAAGGAAGGGGCCAAGTCAGTGCGGGGAGGAGAAAGAGAAGGAAGAGAGGAAGGAGCCTTCCGCACCGCCAATCCCAGAACGAGGCCCTCCCACCCACCCAAAAGCCTGCCCAGGGCCATGTAAACAACGGTGCAGGGCAGCCCGGCCCCTCCTCTTCCTTGACCCCCTCCAGGACAGGGGTTGGAATTTATTTATTTATTTATTTATTTATTTATTTTGTGTACTTCTACCCCGCCCTTCTCAACCCCCGAGGGGGGACTCAGGGCGGCTTACAAACAGGCACAATTCGATGCCTACACAATAATACAAAAATGTATAAAAACAGCAGTTAAACAGTTATAACAATTAAAACAATCAATATATATCACAATCAATAAACCAATCTCATGCTCAGCGTTCGCCAACTCAGAGTCCATACTTCATTCCACATTGTCTATTCCTATCCGTCGTCGTAGTCCTTTATTTATCTGCCAGATTGCCCAAATGCCTGGTCCCAAATCCATGTTTTTAATTTCCTTCTAAAGGAAAGGAGGGATGTCGATGACCTAATTTCCCCGGGGAGTGAATTCCATAGGTGAGGGGCCACCACCGAGAAGGCCCTGCTCCTCATCCCCATCAACCTGTGATAGAGGCGGGCCGAGAGCAGGGCCTCCCCAGGATCTTAACTCCGAGGTGGGACGTAGAGGAGATGCGTTCGGACAGATACGCTGGGACCGGAACCGTATAGGGTTTTGTAGGTCAAAACCAGCACCTAGAATTGTGCCTTTTTATGCAGAGGGCCAGGTCACAGTCCCTATAAACAGCTTGGAGGGCTGGATGTTAACCACCGAATTTGGATAGTTCCCTAAATTTAGTATTTTTTTTTATTTTTTTTACTTTGTTACTATTTTACACTTTTTATTATTTTGATGTAATTTGTTTTTATATTGTTTTTTTTTAAATCAGAGATGGATTATAATTTGAAGAAAAAAAACCAACCATGAATGAAACCTATGCACACTGCACATATTTTATAAACAATGCTATAATTAAAATGAAGAACAATGTTAAAAATATAAACTTATTAGTATTTCAATGGGAAGTGTGGGCCTGCTTTTAGCTGATGAGATAGGATTGTTGTTGTTATTGTGTGCTTTCACGTTGTTTTGAACTTAGGTTGACCCTGAGCGAGGGCCGGGGGAATGACCTTGGAGGGCCGCATCCAGCCCTCGAGTCTTGGTTTGAGGACCCCTGATTCAGACCCTTTCTCCCCCGCCCTTCTCACCCCCGAGGAGGGGGGGGACTCAGGGCAGCTAACACAGGCAACTATTCAATGCCAATAGTATCAAAACCACAATATAAAACAGCAATATAAAATCCATTACATAACCATTAAGCAGTGATATTAATTAAAATTACATAACCACACAGAACAGATCACAGAATCACAATTTCCAAACAATCCTATGGTCCGAGTTCAGTGCCTAAAGTGCTGCTAAAGTGCCCACTAGCCAAAGGCCTGGCTCCAAAACCACATCTTTAGTTTTTTCCGAAAAGTAAGGAGGGAGGCCGCCGATCTAATCTCGCTGGGGAGCGAATTCCATAAGCAAGGGGTCACCACCAAGAAGGCCCTGTCCCTCGTCCCCACCAGACGCGTTTGAGACGCTGGTGGGACCGAGAGCAGGGCCTCCCCAGTAGATCTTAAATTACGAGATACGTTCGGATATCCGCACACTGCCCAAGTCTCACGTCCTCAATGAGGAACAGTTTCGATAGCTTAGTATACATCAGGGTCCTCAAACTAAGGCCCGGAGGCCAGATATGGCCTACAAGGTCATTTACCCGGCCTTCACTCAGGGCCAACCTAAGTCTGAAACTACTTGAAAGCACACAACAACAACAATCTGTTAGGATTATTGAGGTATGCATGTGTGTTTTTCAATGTGTTTCTATGTAATTCAAGATGGATTAAGATGTGTTTCAAGATGGATTCTATTATGTTTAATTGTGTATTGGAAATACTGTGAGAAGCAGAGACAAAAGCAACCTTGACAGAAGTAAGATATCATTCTCTGGCTGTGGGAAGAAGAAGGCGTATCCGGTTACAGCCAGAGGTCTGATAAGCAGATGTTCTGAAACTGTATAAATATGTATAAATATGTGAGAGGAAGCCACAGGGAGGAGGAGGGAGCAAGTTTGTTTTCTGCTTCCCTGGAGACTAGGATGCAATGGAACAATGGCTTCAAACTACAAGAGAGGAGATTCCATCTGAACATGAGGAAGAACTTCCTGACTGTGAGAGCCGTTCAGCAGTGGAACTCTCTGCCCCGGAGTGTGGTGGAGGCTCCTACTTTGGAAGCTTTTAAACAGAGGCTGGATGGCCATCTGTCAGGGGTGATTTGAATGCAATATTCCTGCTTCTTGGCAGAATGGGGGTTGGACTGGATGGCCCATGAGGTCTCTTCCAACTCAAGATGTTCTGAAACTGTTTATGCTGTGCTTTGTAGTTCCTGATTATAGCCCGCTAAGAATGGACGTGTGTAGATGTGCTTAGTAAACTTTGTGTTATTTGCAACTGTAAGACTGCAGAGTCCTGATTTTTGGAGTCCTGTGTCTGTTGATATTTCTCTGACAATCAGAGAATATTATTTGGCTGTCTCATCAGCCAAAAGCTGGCCTACTCTTCCCACTGAAATACTAATAAGTTTATATTTGTTATAATTGTTTTTCATTTTAAATATTGTATTAAGTGTTTTTTTGCACTACAAATAACGTATATATATAACACCATGAATGAATTCCTATGCACCCTTGTATAGATTAAAGGTTTCCTTTCCCCTGTGTCTCCTGAATGATTCTTGATTCTACCTACGAGACGCTCATGAGATGTTATACTTATGTTTAACTTATTGTTTATTATATCATTTAACTCTTTTTATGATGTTGAGCATTGAATTTTGCTATTGTTTATCGCTTTGAGTCGCCCAAGGGCTGAGAAAAGCGGTATATAAATGAAGTAAATAACTAGAATAATAATAAATAATGACACTTGGGAATGTATCTATTGGGCCCTCCTTCCAGGTGTTTTGGACTTCAACTCCCACCATTCCCAACAGCCTACCAGCTTCAGGCCCCTTCCTTTTCCTTTTTCAGCTTAAGCGGCTGAGGGGGAAAAGGAAAGGGCCTGAGGCTGGTAGGCTGTTGGGAATGGTGGGAGTTGAAGTCCAAAACACCTGGAAGGAGGGCCAAAGTTTGCTGATGCCTAGTCTTACTTCTTGCAGAGGTGCTGGGAGCCGCTGCGGTATTCGTGGTCGAAGGCCGGGAGGATGAGCTGGTGCCGCTTGAAGCTGCTCTGCTCCATCCGCGTCAGGGCTGGCGTGGGGGGGTCCCGCCACTCGGGGATGAAGACGATGAAGGAGAGCGGCTCGGAGGACGCGCCCAGCAGTTTCTGAGGCCGGGGAGAGAGGGGTGAGCGCGGTCAGCCACAAGCGGGGACCGGGCAGGGAAACCCAGGTAAACAAGGCAGCACCTACCTCAAAGTGGGTGACCATGGCATCCATCAGCTCCTCGCAGAAGGGAGGGTTGGCCTCAAAGGAGCCGCTGACGGGGAAGAAGTCCAAGCAGGGGCTGGAAAGGGGGCAACCCAGGCCGGTCACGTCAATGGCAACGGGCAAAGGTGTCCCCAAAATGCACCTCTGCCCCCACTCCCCATGCAGGCCCGGGCGGTCACTCACTCACCCCCTGGAGCCAAAGTAGCCGTCCGTGTCCGGGAAGGCCGAGCAGTACTGCTTGAAGTAGCAGTTGAGCGGGGAGGCGAAGCACTCGAAGCTGACGCCAAAGAGCTTGTGGAGGGCTTCGAAGATGTGCACCGGGATGGAGCCCTGCAGGCCGGTCCCTTCAAAGAGCCCCACCCCAAACATCATCTGCCAAAGAAGGAAGGGCAAGAAAGGACTCTCAGCAGATGGGTTCCCAGGAGAATAACCCTCATAGTAGTAGCGTGTTGGAGCTGTTTGTAATGTGTAATGTAGATTTCAAAGTATGTATATTTAAAATGCAGTAGCTATGTGTTGAGTGTATTCTTGTATGGAAAGAGTTAACTGTACCATGGAGGGAACGGCATTCCTAGAGACATCATAAATCATACGTCACTCTGGAATGCAGGAGGTGTGGACTATTACTGATAATGGAGTCTGTGTGTTTGCGATGTGACTATCGGATGGGATAGAAGCAATTTACGATGTTCCCAGGAGAATAATCTTCATAGTAGCATGTTGGAGCTGTTTGTAATTTGTAATGTAGCTTTCAAAGTATGTATGTATGTATGTTTAAAATGCAGTAGCTATGTGCCGAGGAGTGTATTCCTGTGTGGAAAGAGTTAACGGTACCATGGAGGGAACGGCATTCCTGGAGAGGTCATAAATCAAGTTGTGCGTCATACGTCATACCTCACTCTGGAATGCAGGAGGTGTGGACTAGTACTGATAACAGAGTCTGTGTGTTCACAATGTGACTATCGAATGGGATAGAAGCTATTCACGATGTGCTTAGTGTTAAGTAGCTTCTAATGTACGAGGAGTATTTTTTAAGTAAGGTCCGTTTTGTTGTAGACACTAGTAGTTCGCGCGCATACCGCAACGAGCGCATGCGTCGTGTACCGGCATGCCTCGGGAACAACTGTGCTCAGTTTCCGCTCTGTAGCTAACCTGTACGGTTCTGTTCTGTGCTTTAAAAATGTTTAAGACTCTCAACTCACCCTCTGCATGTGAGGTTCGCTCAGTGATATGGTTTTTGTCAGCAAGGAACCTGCCTGCTGCAGAAATTCATCGACAGATTTGTGAAGTGTACGGTGATACTGTTATGAGTGAAAGCAAAGTGCGTAAGTGGGTACAACAATTCAAAGATGGCCGTGACAACGTCCATGATGAGGACGCTCCGGTCGCCCTTCTTTGATTACAGACGATTTGGTGGCTTTTGGTGGCGGCAAGTTTTTATGAAGAGGGTGTTTTAAAATTGGTTCAGAGGTATGATAAGTGTTTGAACAAACTTGGCAACTATGTCGAAAAATTATATATTATATACTGCAACGCTCTCTACGTGGGGCTGCCCTTGAAGACGGCCCGGAAGCTGCAGCTAGTCCAGCGCGCGGCAGCCATGTTACTAACAGGAGCGGGACGCAGGGAGCATACAACGCCCTTGTTGTCCCAGCTCCACTGGCTGCCGATTTGCTACCGGGCCCAATTTAAGGTGCTGGTGTTATCCTACAAAGCCCTAAACGGTTCCGGCCCAAAATACCTTTCGGACCGCATCTCGGCCTATGAGCCCACGAGGGCCTTGAGATCTTCCGGGGAGGCCCTTCTCTCGATCCCGCCCGCCTCACAGGCACGTCTGGCGGGGACGAGAGAGAGGGCCTTCTCGGTGGTGGCCCCCCGGCTGTGGAACGCCCTCCCTGCTGACATCAGACAGGCGCCCTCCCTCATGGCTTTCCGTAAAAGCCTAAAGACCTGGCTATTCGGGAAGGCATTTAATTGAGACCCACACGAATTTGGTAATGACATCTGGAACGGACTTTGGATTATGAGATTGGCTATGTTTCTATGTTGTGATGGCGCGGATTTTTTAGTGTGATTTAGATTAATGTGTAATTTGGTTGTTGATATATTGTATGTTTTTGTAGACTGTTTTTATATGTTGTACACCGCCGCGAGTCGCCCCAGGGCTGAGAGCGGCGGTCAACAAATGAAGTAAATAAATAAATAAATAAATAATATTACTAATAATATTGCAGTATAGTGGTATAGTACAATACAGTAATATAAATTAATATTGTGCTATGCTAATAATATAATATTGATAATATTATAATGTACTACAATATAATACTAATAATAACACAATATAATGATTATTATATATTACATGTAATATTACTAATATTATTGCATTAAAGCGGTATAGTACAATATAGTAATAGATAATATTAATATTGTGCTATGCTAATAAAATAATATACTGTATGTACATACAATATTCTTCATAATATAATATAATGTAATACAATATAATAGGAATAATACACTAAATGCATATTATATGCAGTATTACTAATAATATTGCAGTATAGTGGTATAGTACAATATTGTGCTATGGTAATAATATAATATACTGTATGTACATATATTATTGATCATAATATTATAATGTAATACAATATAGTAATTGTTTATTATGTATTACATGTAATATTACTAATACTATTGCAGTATAGTGGTATGGTACAGTACAATATAGTAATAGATAATGCTAATATTGTGCTATGCTAACAATATAATATATTGTATGTTCATATAACTTGTAAGCCACTCTGAGAGAAGGCAGGGTATAAATAAATGTCTAAAATAACATAAATCTCCCAGAAGGGACCCAGGGCAGCTTCCAAAGCATGCCACATAAGAGTTCCATACAAAACATCAGACATTTAGGAAACAGGATACAGGTATAAGGGGAGCTTCCTGTTCTGGTAAGAATGCTCTGACCCCCACCCCCTCTCCCTCAAGTCTCAAGCCAWMCAAGAAACCAAAACAAACCCCCTAGCTCTGTGKATCAGGGCAGCTGACCTGCCMGGTTCACARWAATTTYTCTCTGGAGGTGTAGCCATGTCCMCCGCACCCTGAGGAAGGGGAGGCCTGCATCCCAAAGCCCRCCCCTTTCCCCTATGTGGCCCCTTCCTACAGGAAGCCAGGCCCTACCTGGTATCGGCGGAGAAGGCACCAAACCCTYGGCAAGAAGCGCTCGAAGCTGGAGTCGTCGATGCAGCTGTACCGGTAGAGCAGCCACTGCAAGGGAGGCRAGGCGGAGGAGGGGATGGRAGGGGGTGCCCAAGGGAGGGAGGGTGGGAGGGGGGCACGCCCCTGGGGAGCTGACCCTTCCCCTTCCCCCCCCCTCCGCCCCATCCCTGCCCCCAGGCCTACCAGCTTGCTGAAGTAGTTGCGGCTGACTTTCACCATCTCGCCCTTGTAGCGCACGCAGACCACGTTGTTCTCCACGTGCATCTCCACGTTGGGCAGCGGGGGAGAGCGGGTGGCCAGGCGCACCGGGAAGCAGTACACCAGGCGGTCCTGGGCCTCGGGCGTGTCCACCTCCGCTGCGGGGCAACCACTGCCCATCAGTCCCCACTCCTGCATCTGAACCCCCCCCCCCCCCCCCCCCCCCACACACACACCCAACAGGGGCTGGCAGAGAACGCAGGCCCCACTTCTCCCCCCTCTCTTCCGGGGTCAGAATCCCCTTTTCCCTGCCATGGAAGCCCACCGGGTGACCCCAGGCAGGTCACACTCTCTCAGCCTCAGAGGAAGGCAAAGGCAAATCTCCTCACTGGCAAAACTTTGCAATAGGGTCACCATAATAATAAAAAATAATAAAACTTTGTTTATATCCCGCTCCATCTCCCCGAGGGGACTCAGAGCGGTTCCCAGGTAACATCACTAAACATACAAAGTAAAAAAAACAACATAACCATAAGATTTACAAAACAAAATATAAAAATTACATAAACCCCAAACCACTTGAACTGCAAAACTGCTCTTTTATAGCGGAGCACCTCATCAACCAACCTGGACACAGCGCATTATTGGAGGACACAGAAAGGCTGGACCTCTCGGACAACCACCATGTCAGGCCACACAGAGAAGCCATTCAAATCCACAAGAAGATTGGACAATTTCAACAGAAAGGAGGAAACCATGAAAATGAACAAAATCTGGTTACCAGTATTTTTTTAAAAAAAACTCTAAAATCAGGACAGTTAATACAGCAACACTTAAAAACAAGGGAATTCCAGACAAGAATGAACCAGGGCCAGCTAACACCTACCAACAAAGGATTCCCCCAGGCAGGAAGCAGCCAGGCTTTGAAGCTGCAAGTCCATTCGATGCTAATCAAGGTGGCCAATGGCAACATTCACCCTTGCCTCAAGCAGACAAGCTGGTGACCAGTACTTTTTTTTAAAAAAAACTCTAAAATCAGGACAGTTAATACAGCAACACTTAAAAACAAGGGAATTCCAGACAAGAATGAACCAGGGCCAGCTAACACCTACCAACAAAGGATTCCCCCAGGCAGGAAGCAGCCAGGCTTTGAAGCTGCAAGTCCACTAAATGCTAATCAATCAGGACAGTAAATAGAGCAACACTTAAAAACAAGGGAATTCCAGACAAGAATCAATCAGGGCCAGCTAACACCTACCAACAAAGGATTCCCCCAGGCAGGAAGCAGCCAGGCTTTGAAGCTGCAAGTCCACTAAATGCTAATCAATCAGGACAGTAAATAGAGCAACACTTAAAAACAAGGGAATTCCAGACAAGAATCAATCAGGGCCAGCTAACACCTACCAACAAAGGATTCCCCCAGGCAGGAAGCAGCCAGGCTTTGAAGCTGCAAGGCTATTCAATGCTAATCAAGGTGGCCAATTGCAACATTCACACTTGCCTCAAGCAGACAGGAGTTCTTTCTTTCTCCCACCCTGGACATCATTCCACAGGGATATATATATAAACCCCACTTGCCTAGTTTCCAACACACTTCTCTGAGGATGCCTGCCACAGATGTGGGTGAAACATCAGGAGAGGATGCTTCTGGAACATGGCCAAGCAGCCCAGAAAACCCACAGCAACCCATGAGAGCCTTTGAGAACACATTGTCCTTTGTGTCAATTTCTGTATTTTGGGTTATTTTATATTGTTATGTATTCATATGTTCTATGTAATTATGATGTTGTTTATTGTTTGTGTTTTGGGTTGTGTGTTTTCGGTTCTCTTTATAGTAATTTGTTGTTTGGGCCTGGCCCCATGTAAGCCGCTCCGAGTCCCCATAGGAGAGATGGTGGCGGGGTACAAATAAAGTTTTTTGTTGTTGTTGTATTCCTGATGGCTTTCGTGGCCAGAATCACTGGGTTGTTGCAGGTTTTTTCGGGCTATATGGCCATGGCCTAGAGGCATTCTCTCCTGACGTTTCGCCTGCATCTATGGCAAGCATCCTCAGAGGTAGTGAGGTCTGTGGAAATGCTAGGAAAAAGGGTTATATATCTTGTCGAACTTTATCTTGCTATGTTCGCTCGTAACTTGATAGAATGCTAAGGGGAGAGTAAGAGTCACCGCATGTGATCTTAGTTCTAGGTATTATCGGTGTATAAACCGTGGATCACGTGATCAGCTGTTATTCGTATCTGCTAGAGTTTCGGCGAGGACACATATCGGGAGAGGTAAACTAACACGGCTGCGCGTATTAAGCGCGTAAGTCCGAGCTCTCCGTGTATGGTTGGCTATCACTAGTTATGGGCTTGCTTCTCGTGGCCGTGTGAGAATGGAATCTCTCTTGTGTGCTGTCACTACTGTTATCTGTCTCAGAGAGAAGGTAGAGTAGAGGATAGGTAGGCTGCCATCTCAGATGACTGGCCTGTGAACGTTGGGACTGCGTCTATGAACCGTACAGAGCTATTTAAAGCCTCTGCGGTCAATGGTCGCAACGCACAGAAGTCACGAGTACCAATGGCACGACAGAGTGCTGTGACAGAGAAAGTACCCTATCGGTCCAAGCGTCATTGCCTTATTAGACTGTAAATAATATAGCATGCTCTGTGTCGGTGTCATGTCCTGGTCATTGGTGGAGACGCGTGTATCATCGCTCTAACCATTCATACACAACAACATACATTCACGTACCCTCTGTGATGCCTAATGAACTCAACAGAGATACAGATGTATCGATGATAGCATTTTGAAGGCCCGTATGGTGTAAGCTTCATTCTCACATCTGGTCCATCCATGATTGACCTATCCGGCCATGCGCCATACACAGCAACAGAATAACTACAAAAACAGTACAACAGGCCTTGCTTTCGCTGCGGACTCAGTTTCGAACTCGCTGATAGCTGACATGAATACCATGTCTAAATGCGGATGAACAGAGTGACGGTACCTATCGTCCCCTAGTCAGTCTGTCTCGTCTACTTGTATGGGGTCGGTCTTAATGTTACCCGTAGCCAATCTGCATTTCTCCTTCTGTCAGCGAGCAGAATGAGACTAGCATCTCCATCGATCACCAATGAATTAGCTTCTGTTAGGAGTGCATGAGATTCACGACGTTCACTGGATAGATCATACGATCTCATACCTAATCACTTTTTATCTTCCACTGACCTCTCACGATTTACCGTGATTATTCCTACTCACATATTATTCGCGAGTCTTCAGGATGCTGCCATGGACCCCAGGTTCCTACCCTTAAGACGTGCCATCTCGAAGTCCGTGTAAACCTACTATGATGTTACTACTCCGTCATCATTTACCAATACATAATATATATCAGTTCAATTATCAACACATCCACAAAACATAATCATACGCTATAAAACCCACACGCCTCAAACATCCTACCAGAACACACGCGAGTTACATAAGATATGGTCCTACAGGACCATTGCATCTCCGATTAACTGTAATAATCACTACTAATATATATCAACTGCTCGCAGCTGCAGCAAGGTTATCAATGCTCGTGTTGACCAATCGACTTGAACCGTCATAGACTATGTTTATGCATCCACCTATGATCTCTTCCTGAGAACTAATACGGGGTTCAGCCATTAGCGCAATACAAATTAGATCTTCACGCTAGCTTACTCTCCTCTCTGTCTCGCCCACTTACGCGAGATCGTGTGCCCTGTGAGGAGGGTCAAGTATCGTTAGTCTTACTATCGTCGCCGATCTGAATCTGGCTTGATGTTATCTCACTCTAGATGGACCTCCAGTTACTCCGTTGTCATCGCATAAGCTTTCGCGTCCCCAGATACTAGCCTCAGATACTCTTACAGTTACAGTTACGCTTAGGTCAGTGCGCGAGATCGTGCGTCTCGCCTGTCGATACTTACGCCTAGACGTTTGTGTAGTCATGACGAGCTTGACATACAACTGGTCACGTGGTATCTGCTTTAGATACCTGCATCTCTGATGCATCAAATGCATGAGTCTAGGCTTAGACAGGCACCTTAAGGAACTATGGAGGGGAAGGAAGGGCTAGAGGATGCCTGCCCATAGGATCGTAGGGCTCCTTGGAATGTCTTAAGCAAGACTGTCCGAAGAGAGAAGGCTACTGGAACACGGTATACATGCCGGAAAACACAGCACAACCAGTGATTCTGGCCTGAGGATCCTCAACACACACTCCTCAAGGCGTTTTGGACTTCAACTCCACAGTATCCTAACAACTGATAGGTGTGTAGGCATTGTAGGGATGCTGGAAGTGCCCAAAATCCGGATTAGAGATCAGGAGTGTAAGAGTGCAACGTGGGTGTCTAGCCAATTAGGCACTTCGTCACTCACAAGATTGAAAGCTAATGTCGCTGAGCATGCCGTAAACCAAGTTGCTGCCGTGAGGCCCACATTGGTTCGGATCCTCCAGTTCAGGAAACTAAAGGTAGTTAACTATAACAATTGGATAACCGAATTGTAGAAGTGGAGTTGCAAGTATTAGTCCCTTTTGTCGCCTGAACTGTGCTATCTCTATGACGTGTACCCTACTGCTTTCGGAGCACGTCCGGCCGAGGTGTTAGCTGCCGAGTCCCTCTGTCTGGAGGTATGAGATACAGAGCGGGGAAGGAGAAAGGACCCAAATAAACAACATAAAATTTGTATTCACTCGATCGCGTCCTTGAAAGCTCTTTCTTCTTTTTCACATTTTTTTTTTGGGCGCGACTAATTAACATTACGAAAGGGAAATCTGTACGTAACTGGCTAGCAGGCTTGCAAAGCAGGTCTACGGAGCGGGCTCGGTCACTCTCGCCTAGACAGCGGCAGCAGCAGGCCGTGACATAGGCCGTCTAGAGAGCAAGATACAGACAGAGGCAAGGCGATGGCGAGGTGGCACCTTGCCGGCAAACGGACCACCTAGACAGTTCGTGTAGTCCGTCCCAATCTTGACCTGTTGGGGTACTAGCGTTTGGGGGACCCATGGAGGCCGAGTGGTCCCTCCGCAGCCAGCTGAAGGTGTCCTCCACGTTCCACTTCACCACCTTCCTGCTGTCCGGAGAGGCGCTCCTGTGGTCACCCAGAAGACCCCCAGGTCAAGATGGCCAGAACTCAGTTCCTTTCAGGTGCACACTGACACGCTTCCGGTTTGTTTTAGACGGCCCTTTATCTCTCCAGTTGCTGGCGAGATGACCCTCCTCCTGTTTCAACCTCACCATTCATTCCCCTAATTTAATTTAGTTCCCCTTTCAACCTGCAAAAAGCTAGAATACGCTTTCAATCTACGCGATGGAGTGGAATACAAATATTTATTTGTTTATTTGGGGCCTTTCTTTCCCGCACTATCTCAACCTCCGCAGAGGGACTCGGGGCAGCTAACAACTGGCACAGCATGGGGCCCACAACGAGGAAAAAAAGCATAAACATACATATAAAAACATTAGAACAGATCACTAAGCCTGGCACGCACTCACCTCTTCAATCTTTACAGGCATGGGAGACCTTCAGCCCTCTCTTCAGGTGTTTTGGACTTCAGCTCCCACAATTCCTAACAGCCTATCAGTGGTTAGGAACTGTGGGAGTTGAAGTCCAAAACGCCTGGAGGAGGTGTGTTGTTGAAGGATTTCATGGCCAGAATCACTGGGTTGCTGTGAGTTTTCCGGGCTGTATGACCATGTTCCAGAAGCATTCTCTCCTGACGTTTCACCCACATCTATGGCAGGCATCCTCAGAGGTGAGGTCTGTTGGAAACTAGGCAAGTAAAGTTTATATATCTGTGGATATATTGATGTGGAGAGAAGGAAAGGAGAAAAAGGAAGGAAAAGGAAGAAAGAAGGAGGGGAAGGAAGAAAGATAAGGAAGGAGAGAAGAAAAGAAAGAAGCAAAGAAGGAGAGAAGGAAAAACGGAAGGCGAGAAAGAAGGGTGGAAGAGGAAAAGGAAGGAAGAAAAGAGAAAAGGAATTAATGAGAGAAGGAAGGAAGAAAGAGAAAAGGGAGAAGAAAAGAGAAGGAATAAAGAAAGGAAGGAGGAAGGAAGGAAGGAAGAAGGAAAAGTAAGGAAAAGTAAGGAAGGATGGAAAAGGAAGAAAGAAGGAAAGAAAGAAAGGCAGAGAAGCAACGAAGGAGAGAAGAAAGTGAAAGGAAAAAGAGAGGGAAGGGAGAGAAGGAACGAAAGATAGAGAAGGGAGGAAGAAGGAAAGGAAGGATGTAACCAAAGAGCAAAGAAGGGGAGGAAAGAAACAGGTAGAGATGGAAGAAAGAACAGAAATAGGGAAAGAAAAAGAGGAAAGGAAGGAAAGAGGGAAGGAAGGAAAGGAGAAGAAAGAAGGAAGGAAAGTAAGGGAGGAAGGAGAGAAGGAAGGAATGAGTGGGAGAAAGAAAGAGAAGGAAGGAAAGAGAGAGAAAAGGAAGTAATGAGAGAAGGAAAAGGGAAGCAAAGAAGGAACGAAGGGAGGGATGGGACCGGAGGGAGAGGAGTGGGGTCGCCTTTGATGGGGAGGCCCGACCCTAGCATGGGAAGGGGCACCCAAAGGCCGTCCAGACCAACCTCCTCCCGCCGAGCCCTCCCAACAGCCTTCTGGAACACAGCCATGCAGTCCAGAAAACTCACAGCAACCCACCTGAAGGAGAGCCGAAGTTTGCGCACGCCTGCCTTAGAATTTCCTGCCTCCTGGCGTGTGTGTCTGCCCCTCCCTGAGCAAGACCTCTGACCTTCTCCTCCCCCTTAAGCCTCCCTCCTCCCTCCCCCCCCCCGGCTCCCCAAAGAGAGGAAGCCCCCACCTGGATTCAATCAGCCTCTTGGCCGCCTCTGCGTACTTGAAGAGGAGCCGCTTGGCTTCTTCTCGGAACTTGATTCGGGACAGCCTGCGGGAAAGGGAGAGAGAGGGGCTCAGGCAGGCTCCCCCCCTGCCCCCCCCCCCCGTGTGCGCCTGCAGCACGGCCCCTCCCTTGTTACCTGATGGGAATGTCATTCATGATTTCTCTGAACATGGAGGGGGACACGACCGGCTCGCAGCTGCTGGGCAGCAGGGGGTCCGACCCCTTGTCCACCACTTTCCGCTCCAGCATCCACCGGTTGAAGGACTCCCGGGGAGGGTCGATCCCTGGCGGAAACGCAGAAGGGTGGGTTAGCCACACCAGGGCCAGGCCTTTGGGAGGCACAAGGGGGTTGCGCTTCCGGGGTTTCCCAGGGCTTCCTTTGGCACCCAAGGTGACCACTATCACTGCAATATGGATGGCAAGGTCTGCAGACTGCAAATGGGGGCAGCCAGTGGCCAACAGCACAGAAAAGCCCCCAAGGACAGAAGCATGGAGTTGGAAGGGAAGCCCAAGGGTCACCCAGTTCAACCATGGCGGAGGACACCATCATAATAATCATAATCATAACCATAATAATCCAGCATATCGATCTTGTTTGCTGTGACATACTGTGCTTTTGTGTCAATAATAATAATAATAATAATAATAATAATAATCTTTATTTATATTCCGCCCCCACCCTGGCAGTCTTCAGGAAGAGCTTGAAAACGTGGCTGTTCCAGTGTGCCTTCGCTGAACGAATGAACTATAATTCCCTGCCCTGACCAATTCCTGCAAATGCCCCCGGAAGCACTTTATTTCATCTGTTAGTGCAACTGACCCTATTTTACCCTCCGGACCTGCCTGTCCAGATACATTGCACTGCCATCTCACCCAGGGTTTTTAATCTTTTAATCTATTAGACTGACCCTGCCCACAGTGATTGATTTCTGTGTTTCAGACTTTATGGTTTTCTATTGTTAATGTGTTATTTATAACGGTTTCTGGATTGCACTTTTATTTTCTTTCATTTTATTGCTGCATTCTGTTTAGATTGATGTGTTGTCTTGCTGGGCTTGGCCTCATGTAAGCCGCCCTTGGGGAGATGATGGCGGGGCATAAATAAAGTTTTATTATTATTAGAAAAGGTACAGGTAAAGGTTTTCCCCTGACATTGCCAAAGAGCCGGCGTTATCTGTAGACACCTCCAAGGTCATGTGGCCAGCATGACTGCATGGGGCGCCGTTACCTTCCCACCGGAGGGGTACCTATTAATCTACTCACATACGCATGTTTTCAAACTGCTAGGTTGGCAGAAGCTGGGGCTGACAGCAGAAGCTCATGCCTGCGACCTTTCAGTCAACTAACTCAGCAGCTCAGCACTTTAACCCACTGCACCACCGGGGGCTCCATCATCATCATCAACATCATCATCATCATCATCATCATCATCATCATCACCATCTCCCCAGGGTGACTCAAGGCAGATTCCGGCATACAAGGGCAAGGACATGCAATACCTCTATAGAACAAACAAGTACCGACATAATAATCCTAGAAAACCCATCAAAGTCCTCCCAACGGATGGCCATCCAGCCTCTGCTTAAAAACCTCCAGACTCCAGCACACTCTGAGGCATCAAAACAGCTCTTACTGCCAGGCAGTTCTTCCTAACGCACTTGAGCTTCCATGAGATCCTGCTCGTAGGAGAAACCACCAACCTTACTTCCCTGGGACTACAAATCCAGATTCCCCTGGATGGAGAGCCGGGTCCTGCAAAAGGGAGCTCTGCCCGTCCCCAGGACCAGGCCCCAGTCAGTGGAACCCTTGGGTGACACCAGGCAGAACCAAACCAAGGAAGCTGAGCTGCGGAAACAGGACCCGTCTCTCGCCGTAGTAGCCATGAGCGACGGGTGAAGCAGGTTGGACCGGACGGCCCTCGTGGCCTCTTCCAACTCTGGGATTTTATGAGAAGAGGATGAACCAGCTGTAAACTGCAAGCTTAGAGTCATAGAGTTGGCCACAAAGGCCGTCCAGTCCAATCCCAGTCCATTCCCAGGTGCTACTGTGTCCTCCAGCTGCTAGGCAAAAACATCAGCTATCTAGCACAGGCACTGGAAGCGTGGGAGTCCAAACATCCCAGGGGAGGGCCAAAGTGTGCCCATGCCTGGCCCAGCAGGCCCCACGGAGGGCCAAATGACCCTCCTTCTTCCTGTTTGGGAGAGCGCTCACCCTCCCGCTGCTGGCAGAGCTCCCGGTAGTGCGTGCGCAGCTTCAGCATCAGCTGGGAGCGGAGGAGCTCCACTTCCGGGTGGGGGCAGAGCACGTCCGAGGGGGGCCGCTGCTTGATCACGGCGTTCGTCTGGATGTCCAGGTCCCAGTAGACCCTGAGGGGCAGAGAGACGGACAACAGAGGGTGGTGGAACGTCCCCTGAGAAGGGAGGACGCTCTCTGCTTGGAAGGAAGGAAGGAAGGAAGGAAGGAAGGAAGGAAGGAAGGTGGGTCCTGGGACAGTGCGGGCAGGGGCTGTCAGGAATACTTAAAATTAACTAGGTATTTTTAATTACAAAAATGTGAGTCAAGCACTGAAAGGGTTAAATGGATGCAATGAATCAACAAAAGCAGCAGTTCAATATAAGTACACGTGCCTGTGTAGCCTTCATCTGAGAGAGCCCTCAGGATGAGAAGGCCTCAGTGAGAGAGGTCTCAATATAATAGACCTCAGTCTGAGAGAGCCCTCTGTGGGAGAAAGGCCTCAGTGTGAAGTAGGCCTCAGTGTTAGTAGGCCTCAGTATGAGAAGGCCTCAGTGAGAGAGGTCTCAATATAATAGACCTCAGTCTGAGAGAGCCCTCTGTGGGAGAAAGGCCTCAGTGTGAAGTAGGCCTCAGTGTTAGTAGGCCTCAGTATGAGAAGGCCTCAGTGAGAGAGGTCTCAATATAATAGACCTCAGTCTGAGAGAGCCCTCTGTGGGAGAAAGGCCTCAGTGTGAAGTAGGCCTCAGTGTTAGTAGGCCTCAGTATGAGAAGGCCCAGTGTAAGAAGCTTATGAGCTTGTTTACAGTTTGTTGATAGAGCTCTAGATGGTTTGTTGACTTGTCACAGAGTTGGTGATGTATACTTATCAAACAATCACTGTGTAATTTCTCTTTGATAGAACTGTTTAGATCAATTGGCCACTTCACCCTCCTTTCTCCAGTTAAGTTTTCTGTTCTGGATAATTCTGTCTGTTCCAGAACTGAACCTAAGGGCACTTGTCACTTTCTATGCATTCCAGGATGTTAAAGGTGTTTCCTTAGGGGAACAGCCCTGGTGATACCATGACGTGATCAATGGCACTGCTGGCACGTTTGCTCAGATATCGCAATAGCCTCTAGATAAGTCCTTTGGACTCCTGTGCGAAGTGTATAAGCTGGGATGGTATATGAATCCTAAAAGTTTAATACCCTGCTGATTATATTTGTCATCCATAGAGGTATGTGAAGTTAGAAAAATATCCTCCTGTGTGCGTGTGGTGCTTTTTGTCATGGCCTTGGGCCTGTACAATAAACTATTTTTGATTGATTGAGAAGCTTATGTGAGAAAAGCCCCAGGTTGAAGGCCTCGTGTGTAAAGATACTGTGTGATGTTCCTGTGTGAGAAAAGCCTCTGTGAGAGAGAAGCTGTTTATCTGCATGTAGTAATTCAAAAGGTCTTTTGAATAAACTTAGGTGTAGGGCATCTTTTTACTTTAACCCTAGAGCATAGTGCACAGTCTTAAGAGCTTCTTGCAGCTCTTCAAATTAAGACCTGTCACCTCTGCAAGTTT